GGGCCGGCCGGCTTCTGGGCGCGTGGCCGGGCGCCCGCGCCGCTGTCCCAGGCTCCGCGCGAGTGTCCGAGGAAATGTCGGAGGGGTGGGGTGAGCCCCCGCCGGGGGTCGGACAAGCCCGTGGGAGAGTGACCCCAGTTGCCCATCGGCACTTTCACGCGCAGGTCTGGGCCGCCGCCTCGCCGGGCCCGCGTGTCCGTGTCCGCCTTGCGGGCCGGCCCTCCCATATGGTGGGCGCCCGGCGGGGCCTGGCGAGAGGAGCGGGCCGGCGAACGCGCGGCCGGCCCGGGGCCGGGGGAGGGGAGAGAGGGGCCTGTGCGGAGGGGTTACTGTCGGTCACCGTAGCCGCGGCCTCGGGGGAGGGGGGCGCGGGCCGAGGGCATGGTGCCCAGCGGGCAGCGCTCCAGGCCTCTACCGAGGGTCTGAGCGGCTGCCGGCGCCTTCCTTTCCCACGCACGTTCCCGCACACACGCGCGGGCGCCCACGCCGGTCCCACGCGCGAGTACGTCGCGGACAGCCTCCCGCACAGCCACCCCGGCCGCCGCGCACCACGCCCCGCACACGCAGTCACACGACAGGAACTCACACCCCTGCGCGCACACCCGCGCTGTTCACACGTCTCGCACTCCGACCCCCACGCAGTGCCCTGGCCCCCTCGACTGAACATAAGCAGAACGATGGCCGAGGGGTGGCGGCGGGGGCAGGGGAGAGGCCACCTCGCCCGCCTTGGCCGTCTGATTCTCTTTTCCCTTCCCACTGTCGTGTTCCCCATGGAACTTCCCCTCCCCCCGTCCCCCCAGGGCACAGAAGGGCTGTTTTCTCCCCCGATTTCCGGGTGGTGACAAAAATCCCCAAATGCCTGGTTCGTGGAGAGCCCCCGCCGCCCTACAGGTGTGAGCACGCTGGGGCTCGGCGACTTTGGGGCCTGTGGGCAGTGCGGGGAGCGGAGACTCTTATTTTGAAGAGCGGCCCCCGCCCGCCACCCCCGTGATTTGCACGCTGACCCAATGGCAAGCCCTTGGCCGGCGCTCGGCTTGTTATCAATTACATGTTGTTCCTGCAGCCGCTGTGTTCCCGGGAGGATAAACAGCAGGCCTGGCCGGGCCGGGGGAGGGGGCGGAGTCCGGCTGCCGTGCGGGGACGGTGCCCGGAACAGCGAGTCCCCTCCCCCTGCACGCAGCCTGCGCCTCCGGCCGTGCCACGTGCTGCTGTGTTTCAGGGGCCGGAGCGGCTCCCGCCCTGGTGCGCCAGTCTCTAACGCCAGCGCCCCGGGCAGTACCAGACCCGCTTCTGGGCTCTAAGTGCCGCCGCCCCGGCCGCTGAGCCCTGCATTAAGACCGTGCTGCCTGACCGACCGTTTTACTCCTGATCTCATCTTCGCAGCCCCCGCCCCGCCCCCCCCCCACTCCACCTCCCCGAGAGTGACCTTGACCTCCCGGGCGCGCTGCGGACGCGGGAGGCGGCGGGGGCAGCGCGCCCTCCCCACGGCCATTCCGATCGCGGCCCGCCCGGCCCGGCCGCCGACTTCCGCAATCAAAAGGCAATTTCCTCGTCTCGGGGCCAAGGAACA